AACACACATGTCACCTGCAAAGGAGAATCTAATAAGTTGGATGAAATTATTTCCATATTGGACGGAACGAAACTTCTTCGAGAATTTGATGGGAAACTTCGAGAAAAAGGCTGCTCCGGTTTGAAAGGAATGATGGCGCTTCGAACTCTGAAAGTTACCATATCGTCCATGTCAGCTTTGGAAGCCCTCAGTCTCAGCTTGAGAACGCCAGCGATGAAGAAACATCTTGGAAAGCTTGTCATCGATATAAACTTCAAGATTTACAGTCATCAAAACTTGCCGAGTTTCCATCTTCGAAAAACTTCCTTTGAATTAATACTAAATGGTTTCTACTTCGAGCCCCAGGTGTACGGAGAGCCCCTAAGGATAGTGAAGGGACTGACTAAAGGATGTGTCTGCCACTCCTTGAAAATAAAGAACGTTTCATGGCCTTCTAATGCATGCCGAGACTTGAGAACCAGTCTTCCGGGAACTGAAGTAGCCTTTCTCTGCCAGAATTAGTAAAAAGCCTTTACAGCAGACTCAGGCCTGTGTGAAAATGGTCTTTCATGCGTAACAATACCAAAAACCTAAAGTGATAGTAGAATTAAAAACGTTAATAGTTAATCATTGAGATTGAATTGGAATAATATAAATAATGTGTAATTTTTAGTGGTTTGTGCATTGTGGAAAAAGTATATTATTTAATAATTACGGTTAATTAGGCTACTGTAGTGAACAAACCTCAGCGATCATTTCCTGGGCGTCTGCTTGGGAAACCTTATCTCTGTACTTGACGGTCAGCTTAGATTATTCACATCCTGCGAGGCGGGGCGATGGTGTCTGGTGGTGCGACGTGAGTTAGTTCAGAGGCGTGTTGTTGGAAGCTGCTGCTCCTATCACCTTGATAAGTGAAGGGCCAACAGGAATGCCCTAATAATCATCGATAAAAAATGTGAAAACTATGCTCCTCTGTGTAAAAAACATAGATAACCCAGAGTAATGAAATTCTGACATTAAAAATGAGTGCTAAGGAGGAAACTGAAATATTGTTAGGGGACGTGATGAGAGACGATCAAACGTTCATTATGAGTGAGATCGTTCTGTCCTTAGACGAAGCACAAGAGAGTTCTATAATCAAAGGCTCCCATGAAACGAATAACTCGAAAATGTCTCATAAACCTCAAAGTTCAATAGAAACTAAGCTTATGGGTGCAGAAAATCATGCATATTCGCCGAACAATGAATATCATGAGGCTAGGTCCAATGAGACAGCCAGGACTGTCGCAGCAAAGAGCGCCAGCAAAAACGGTGCTGGTGATATTGCGACCAATAATTTGCAAGAAACCGACGTTTCTGAACCAGATGACGACGAAGTCTTCGTTTCGCCTTCTTTTGTACTATCATCAACTTCTATCCGTGACGTTTCACCAAAAAGTTCTTCAGATAGCGATGAAACAACACCCCAAGTTACAGAACAATTAGATGGCGTCGAATGCGATGACTCGTCACTAAACATGCTGAAGTGGGCGATGTGCGCCAAGTCTGGTCGAACTCATGCCATACGATGTTCGCTGAACATTATCTGGTCAGCATGGAATGTCCACTCCAACTTTGACACGATGGAAGAATGGAGCATGGAAGCCTTCGGTTGGATGAAAGAGGAGTTGGTGAACAATGTAGGACCTATTGTCGTGACTCAGTTAAGTCGAGCCATGCACCCTGACAACCTAACCGAAGACGCTGCCCTACAGACAATCAAATTTTTGATCCCGACCATCCCATTTGCATCGATTGCAATGCTAGATAGAATTGTCCATGCTTCGATGACCGCATGCTATTATGATGTCAAATTGTCATCTGCAGAATTAATAAAAAGAGTGCAATCCTTCGTAATGATGATTCAGTCCTACTTGTATTCTATACATAAAGTTACCCAGGGTATGATTTCATCATCGGTGCGAGATAAGATACTCTGTTTGCGGGAAGCGAAGAAATCTTTCAAGTACGCAAAAAGACAGACTTTGCATCAAAGCGCCCATATCTATGATGCACATAACAGGCACTCAAAAATAGGAAGCTTGAGTGGAGGATCTACTAACGTTCGTTCTGCAGCTGTTTCTTTCCGGCGAATAAGCCGACAATCTAAGAAGGTAAAAAGCGGGATAGAATTTGATGCATTAAATACGGCAACAAAAAACTGGAAACCTTTTGGAATAAGAAATTCTCGCGTTCAATGTGAAGGATCTTTATATGATTCTAACCCGCAACATGACCATGCAAATCCCTTGCACGGTGAGTGCACGCACAGTATAAATTCAGGACGCAATAATTCTCAACAACCAAGTAAGGAGCCTTGCACTCAGGCCGAAAAGATGACTGCAGTTCATTTGGAAGAACCTTCGTCAACTGGTAGAGTTAACTATGCTTTGGAGGAGGATGTCAGTTCTCATCGAGGCTGCGACGACGAAGTTGATGCCACTTCCCAATCCGAAGACAGTTTTGACGATGAGCTGGATGATGTTCGGTGTGAATTAAATGCTACTAATACTATTAATAACAAGAACTCCAAACTTGGTCAAGTTGCCAAGTACAGAGAGAGAATTAGAATTTTAAGGGAAGAGTTAAAACTCTACAGGAACAAAATTGGTCCTTTCATCAGTTTTGTGGAGTACAGCATTCATCAAGCTCTTGATTCCGTAAGGTCGTCCATCCAATTTAAAGATGAGGATGCAGTGCGAGCAAGTGAATTTGTACAATTTATTCGGGAAAGTGAGATGGGTAAGCAGATTCATCGCGTTCGTCAAGCCATGCAATCCTTCATACACAGGAGATTCGTGTCGTTGGACCTTTGGAAATGGTTGAACTTATCGACGCCCGACCGCTGCGCCTATGCAAGTGTTTCTCCTTTGAGAATAATCCACAAGTACTCAAACGCTAAGTTTTCACTTCAGCAAATCCTTCAACGGACTGAAAACGCCAAGTACCTCTTCATATTTGGCCCAGTTGGATCAGGAAAGACTCGTGCCGTAAATTTTCTTCTCAACTGCTGGGCGAACAAGCCTAGCCTCGTGAATTGTCCCTTCGATTATGACGCTGTGGTTCCAGTCACTAGCGAATATTTCTCTTCAGCTCAGTCGCTCGAAGAATACCTCCTCGAAATTCTATGCTGCTATTCGAGCTCGGATATTCTTTTCGGCAACAGCTCCGCTTATATCGCCAAGATGAAACTTCTGTTTATTGCAGAAATTGACGTCTCTTCAAACATCGAGAAGGTCAAAGAATTCACAACCGATCTCAGGGATCTTTATCCAAACTCTAAAGCTATTATTACCAGTCGCAACGAAATGGCTAAGTCACTTGAAACAGTGTTGCTCGATCAGAAAGAAGAAATTGACGCACTTCAGATATTATGTTTGGATGACATATTGTTGTTCAAGTTCGTGATGCACTACCTTAATGACGAAGACCTAACGAGAGAATTCTGTAGCATATACGAAGGCCTAAACCTAGAAGCCAGCATGCGTCATCCCCTCTTCGTTCTGTTATCTCTTTATCTGTGGCAGAAAGATGCCAGCTTCTTGACGTCAGCTACGTGCCTATCTCGTCTTGTAATGAGCATCATGGTTGAGTTTCATCTGAGAGCTTCGAATCACCACAATGTCAGACACGGGGTTGAAATGGAGAGTTCCAACTGCTGGGCTGACTCTTGTGTGAAGGGGCTCTGTGAGAGCGTCTGGTCAGTGCAGTCTAAAGCCTTGAAGAAAGACGACCAATTTGGACTGAATGAAATCACTCCTCCTGAAGTTGAAGTTGACAATCTCTTCCATCCGTTCTTAATTTTTTTGGACGGCCATTGCTATCTTGCTCACTCGGTGCTGAGGGAATTACTTTCTGGAGTATATCTTGCCAGCAAAATTTGCCGCAAAAAGAGAATTTTGCTCCAATGTTGCTGCGCCATGGACGATGAAAATATTAACATCGAGAACAGAAAACTGTCTACCGAATGTTTGATTGTGGCAGCTGGAATTTGGTCGCTGACAGATAGTGTAGGTCAGGAAACGTCAGATAAACTAGCTGCATTATTTGCAACCTGTGCTGTAGGAAGCCCTCTACAGTGGCTTCGTTTCGTTGGCGAAACTGGGCAATCTTCTGAAATTTGCTCCTCTGTGTCCAGCCAACTTAAATGGAAGCCAACTTGGAATGCATCTAATTATGGAATTGAAGAGAACGTAGCGGTTTCTGAACTTCTTCGCATCGAAGCGTACCAGCCGAAAAAAGTGATCTTGAACGATATGTGTCCCGGCATTGTCGAACTTGTCAGTGCCCTCGCCATTTGTCCGGCTGTGGCTGTCGTCATGAGACTGGAACGCCACTTCTGCTCATGGAGCGATTTAAGTGAGAGTGACGATCTCGTAGAACTTCTGCAGCCTGCTGGCAATCTTGTAGAGCTATGGGCTCACCTCAACTTGCGAGGATCGTTCGCAGTTCGTCATATGAGAAAGCTGGAGGCGCTTAACGTCCGCATCACATCTGCAGATTCTCTCATATGCCTCATCGATACTCTGAATCGAGCCCCAGTACTCAAAAATTTATCGATGAGACTCGACATTCCTAAAGACGTCCAGCCCAGAGTCATTCCAAGTATGAATTCCTTCAAAGGAAATTTTTGGCTAAGGCTTCACAAAATAGACGATGACTCGTCGGACTGGGCTTCGCAAATAATCAAAGCTCTCGGCAAAACGCCTACCGAAATCCATCTGCAGAGTTCCTGGCTATCTCCTAATGTTCTTCAGCAGTTTAAAGTGAACGTTGGAACCTCGGACGTTTTTATTGCCATGTGATGCCATCACTCGCAACCAGCGTTGTGCAGCGTTTGTCTGCTTTCTGTACGGAAAGTACAGGTAATACCACGTTTTTTATGATTTCATGTTTAATTCTTTATTCAGCTACAATTAAAAATAACGAGTCACAAATTTTAAAACAATTTACGTAAAGTAACAACCTTCTTTGTACCCCAGGTTCACGCTCATGACGGTGACGGCAGTGCGCTGTACAGCAAGGTTGTGTACAGACTCCAGCACGGCGCAGAGGACAAGTTTGTGATAGACGCGGAGACCGGAGCGATTCTGGTGGCCCGTGGGGCGGTTCTAGACCCCGACAGAACCCAGCCGCGCACCACTGAGTACCTGCTGGAGGTGGTGGCTCTCGATGGCGGTATCGGGGAAGCCCAGAGACAAACCGTTACTTTTGTGAACATCTCCATCGTCGACGTCAACAATAAGCCTCCTGTTTTTATTGATCCCGGCACAGTACGGTGAGTTTTATTAATAAATATACCGTACCCATCACTTCTCAAGTTCGATATTGAAGTACCATCGAAATAATTTTTCAAGATTTCATTTTAAAAATGAATTATGATTTGCGGAAAATAAGTTCATATGCTAATACTTCAAGCTTTGTTCTCTGGGCCTAAAGTTCATTATTTAAATTGCTTCAACATTCATTTCTAAAGTTATTATCATACGTAGTATATAATTAATATTAGCCACAACAATTCATTTTTTCTAAATTTCTTTCTGGAGGAAGCTAAATTTTGAATTACTTATTCATTTAAGATTTTACTACGGATTTAAGATTTTACACTACGGAAACCCTGTCACTTCATGGTTATAAATTTGATCAAGTGTTTTAAACAAAATCGTAAATTGAATGCCTAAATATAAGTACTCCAACATATGTTAAATGTTTAATATTAGTTTGTAGTTCATGTGTAGAAAAAAATCTGCACACTGCGAGTATAAGATCAGCAGCTATGCGTCATCACCCCATCACAGGTCTGAGCCCAGCAGTGCCCATCACATGGCCCCATCACCAATTACGCGTCATTACCTCATCAACCACTCACGCTCTTCACAATGCCTCCGGTTTCCAGCGCCCATCACATGGCCCCATCACCAATTACGCGTCATTACCTCATCACCCACTCACGCCCATCACAACTCTCAGCCCAGCAGCGCCCATCTCATGGCCCCATCACCAATTACTTCATCACCCCACTCACGCCCATAACAAGTTTCAGCCCAGCAGTACCATCACATGGCCCCATCACCAATTACGCGTCATTACCCCATCACCCCATCACAAGTGTGAGCCCAGCAGTGCCCTTAACAAGACTCCATGCCCCAGGGTACGTGAGAGCGTCACGCCAGGCAACTTCATCGCGAAGGTGGCGGCGTTTGATGTCGACGACGACGCTGAACTGCGCTACGCCCTCGACACCGCTGGCTCTGAGGCGCGCAATGAAGAGGGGGCCGTCGTCAAGGTGGGTCATGGGGGTCAGGGGTCATGAGTGTTAGGGGTCATGAGGGTCAGGGGTCATGAGGGTCAGGGGCCATGAGGTCAGGGGTCATGAGTGTCAGGGGTCATGAGGGTCAGGGGTCATGAGTGTTAGGGGTCATGAGGCTCAGGGGTCATGAGGGTCAGGGGTCATGATAGTCAGGGGTCATGAGGGCATTGTGGTCAATTAGAAGATTTTTAAATTTGCGGGCTTGCAATACAAACTTATTGAGCAGGAAAAATATTCTTTGCGAACGTGGCCAAAAGTCCCTTTTTCCAAAGTTAACGACGAACTGCAATGAGTAAAAAATTATACATGTAGGAAAGGTGATTAGCAGCTCATCCCACCAAAATACAAATATTAGCTTAAATATTATAAGGGCTTGATTCTGTATTGTGTTGTGAACATTATAAATTAGTTCAGTTGCCTCGCTGAAGTACAAATTCGATCACTCAGTCCATTTCTCTGCAGCCGAGTGAATACAACTATGCGGAGGCTTTTGATATTGGTGAGACAGACGGCGTGATTCGTCTGGTGCGAGCCCTGGACCGGGAAAAGGTAGAGACCATCCGACTGTTGGTGCTATGCGAAGATCTCAATACTCAACAAGGCTCGAGATCCACTTCAACGACCTTAACGATCATCGTTGAGGACACAAACGATAACGATCCGCAGTTCCGACGTCCTCTGTATGGCCGATCTGTAGCTGAGAACGCTAAGGTCGGAATGACGATCCTGACGGTTGTGGCCGATGATGTCGACAAAAACAGGACCATCATCTACAGCCTGGAGGTGAGCTAACAATGGAGGGTGTAGAATTGCTAAACTATCGGGCAGGATTCGCAACCTATCCTTTTTAAAGAATAAAAATGGATTTAATTTATTTTTGGACTTGAAAATGAATACTTCCTACGTTTTTTAGTTTAATTTTGAGAAATTAATTCTGAGCGTTGTAGGTATTCGTCTACATTGTTTATGAATAATTTCTTAGTTTCCTGATGCATCTGCACATCAAATTTTGATATGACGTGACATGACCGCTAGTCACATTGATGATGGAGATTAAAGCTAAAAAGTATACACCTTCTAAGAAAGGATTCAAGAAATAACTGGATAAAAAGTAAATAACTACAAGATGACTTATAGCAGTATCCTAATTAATCGAAGCTGTAATATATAATAGTACAATTAATCGGAGTTGTACACTGTCCACAGGGAGGCCAGAACGTGACAGGTCTGGTGCACCTGGACCCAGAGACTGGGGAGGTGGTCGTTAAGAGTCGCATCGACCGCGAGGCTTTCCAGTGGCTGAACTTCAGCGTCGTGGCCGCTGACTCCGGCGTACCTCAGCGCACTCAGCACGTCGATGTCTTCCTACAGGTCTGGGGTCTGAGGGTCTGCGGCATTGTCTGGTACTTCCTCCAGGTCTGGGCTCTGAGGGTCTGCGGTATTGTCTGGTACTACCTACAGGTCTGCGGTCTGGGGGTCTGCGGTGATGTCTGGTATTTCCTACAGGTCTGGGGTCTGGGGGTCTGCGGTATTGTCTGGTACTTCCTACAGGTCTGGGGTCTGAGGGTCTGCGGTATTGTCTGGTAATTCCTACAGGCTTGAGGGTCTGCGGTATTGTCTTGTATTGTTGCGTTGTAGATTCTAGTTCCTTTGTTGCCTAGAATCAGGTGCCTTTGTTGTCTAGAATCAGGCGCCTTTATTGCCTAGAATCTGGTGCCTTTGTTGCCTGGAATCAGGTGCCTTTGTTGCCTGGAATCAGGTGCCTTTGTTACCTGGAATCTTGTGCTGCTGTTGTCTAGAATTTCAGTGCCTTTGTTGTCTAGAATCATGTGTCTTTGTTGCCTAGAATCTGGTGCCTTTGTTGCTTGGAATCAGGTGCCTTTGTTGCCTGGAATCTTGTGCTGCTGTTGTCTAGAATCAGGTCTCTTTGTTGTCTAGAATCAGGTTCCATTGTTGTGAAACAATTGTTTTACGCAATAATTCAGGATTAATAGAGGATATCAACTTCAACCCACTTCTTTAATTATTGGTAATAAATATTGAACTTCAATGACATGTAAAGAAGGTCTAGAATATTTTGTTAATGATTTAAGGAAATCCTAAACTTATAATAATTCATGTTAAAATTTACACAAAGAGGAATTATGTGTAATTTTGCGTAATATTTAAGGAAAAATATTCGGTGCTCATCTATCTTTTGTACGCCTCTCGCCTGCCCTCGTGGACGAGAACGACAACGTGCCGTATTATTAAATGGAAAGTAACGTTATTCTCGTACTCATCTCTCTTTTGAACGCCTTGAGAACAGCAACATCCCTTAGTATTAAATGAAAAATAACGTTATTTTAGTACTCATCTATCTCTTGTACGTCTGTCCAGATCGTGGACGAGAACGACAACGTGCCGTACTTCGTGAACCCCCCCAGCAGGGTGGTGGTGAGCGAGGACGCCCCCCCAGGCACTGTCATCCTCGAGCTCCTTGCTGCCGACGCCGACGAAGGCGACTATAGCAGGATAACCTACCTGCTGGATCCCAAGTCTTCACAGGGCATGTTCAAGGTGATGAATATGTTGATAATAGTGTTTAAGGTGATAATATGTTGGTACTGCAATGTTTGAGGGGATGAATTTGTTGATATTAGTGTTTAAGGTGATGAATATGTTATTACAATGATGAATGTGTTGACACTACAGTGTTTAAGGTGATGAATCTGTTGATATTGCAATGTTTGAGGGGAAGAATGTGTTGATAATACAGTGTTTGAGGGGATGAATGTGTTGATATTAGTGTTTAAGGTGATGAATATGTTATTACAATGTTTAAGGTGATGAATGTGTTGATACTACAGTGTTTAAGGTGATGAATGTGTTGATATTATATTATTTAAGGTGATGAATATATTATTACAATGATGAATGTGTTGATACTACAGTGCTTGAGGTGATGAATGTGTTGATATTGCAATGTTTGAGGTGATGAATGTGTTGATACTACAATTGTCAATGTGTTGAATGTGTTCTTCTTACGTTTAGGGTAATGATTGTGTTAATCATTGAGCCGGATGGTGGGTTAACCGTAATGTACCGTAATGTTGATCAAGCCGTAATGGGAATGCCGTAACATTAATAGCGCAATAATAATATTAATATAATAATAGTAAGGATATACTATAATAGTATAATATATTAATATTAAGGATATTCTATAATAGTATAATATATTAATATTAAGGATATTCTATAACAATATAATATATTAATATTAAGGATATACTATAATAGTAAAATATATTAATATTATAATAGTATAATATATTAATATTAAGAATATACTATAATAGTAAAATGTATTATTATTGAGGATATTCTATAATAGTATAATATATTAATATTAAAGATATTCTATAACAATATAATATATTAATATTAAGGATACACTATAATATTAGCTGTTGGTTAATATTAAGGATATACTATGATAACATCTGTTGGTGTTCAGATGGACCCCGACAACGGGCAGCTGTCTGTCGCTCAGCCTCTCGACCGCGAGAAGATAAAGCAGTACAACCTCATCGCTGAGGCCTGGGACAACTACAAGTATGGGGGAGCTGCCGGTGACAGCAGGAAGGTTTTCACGCATATCATGTTAGTTATCCTTGCTGTGTGCTGTATGTGTTGTCATCCTTACTGTGTTTTGTATGTGTTGTCACCATTACTGTGTGTTGTATCATTTCCGTGTTTCTTGTGTGCAATTTGAATCATAGAAAGGTGTTCGTGTACCTATGTTACATTCAAGAAAGGAACAAATTTGTTTTGTCTTATTGGTAGAAGCATATAGTTTAGTCTGTATTGCTACTTGCAGTATAACAGCAGTTATATGGCTGAACGAAGTAATGCTATGTAGTAGCCTAAAAGAACCTACAATTAGTTAATACACTAGGGAGTGAGTCTAAAGTTCTCTGCCAGATAGTAAGAAGTTATAAGTGGACGTAACGAATTCGTATGAACTTAGAAACAAGAATGAGTCACGGTTCACTGACGGATAGTAAGACGTAAACATTTTCACATTTTCATGAAAATAATTTCTTTCTTAGAGTGGACATCGCGGATATCAACGACGAGGTGCCAGTGTTTGATCCGCGCTCGGGCTGTTCTACGGTGACGGAGTTCCACGCTGCCGGCGACGCGGTCGCTGTCGTACGCGCCTCTGACGCTGATGATCCTGAGGGAGGGAACGGCAAGATACGCTTCAGTATCACCGGTGGCAACGATAAAGGTTATTAAATGATAGATGGAAAGTTAAATGCAAGATAAGGATATATGGTTGTTTAAAAAGATACATACTAGTTATTGATCCAAATGGATGGTTATTGATAAAAAATATAGTAGTTGATACAGAAATATAGTTATTGATCGAAAATATGGTTATTGGTCATCATGATGTTCGGAGTTTCGTATTAAACGTTGAATAATTCAATTCCTGTTTTGTGATGAACTTTAATTCGAAAATGAAGTTTCGTCGATTTATGCTGCGGCTTCTGAGATGAACACTCATAGTGTCAAGCGATATTAAATACGAGCCCATTTGCCAATTTCGTTATTAGTAAGTACATTGTATTCTTTAATTCAGTAGCCGTTGATTCTGAAATATCAATTTAAGTTTACGGTCTCAATTTATAGGTCAGCCATCGCTTATAGGTCAGCCATCGCCCATAGTTCAGCCATCGCCTATATGTCAGCCATCGCCTATAGGTAATCCATCGCCTATAGGTCAGCCATCTCCTATAGGTCAGGCATCGCCTATAGCTCAGCCATCGCCTATAGGTCAGCCACCACCTATAGGTGAGCCATCGCCCATAGTTCAGCCATCGCCTATATGTCAGCCATCGCCTATAGGTCAGCCATATTCATATATATTCATCTTACTCTGCGCAGGTCTATTCGACATCGAAACAATTGACATGAATTCAGCCCGCATCATAACCCGGGCTCCGTTGGTTGGTCTGTACGGCAATTACACGATCATGGTCGCCGCTACAGACCTGGGTGATCCACCTAATGAGATGCTGCAGCCTGTGGATGTTTGCGTAACGGATTACAATGACCATCCACCAAGATTCGTGTCACCGAACTCTAACCTCACCATCAGAGTTCCTGAGGTGAGCTAAGTTTTACACTTGAAGAGGTGTTGGATAAATACAGCGATGAAAGTTGTCATGGGAAAATATAGGTAATTTGTCATAATGACCATCCACCAAGATTCGTGTCACCGAACTCTAACCTCACCATCAGAGTTCCTGAGGTGAGCAGATATTATTAATTATATCGTCGTTATCGTTATTAATTATATCGTCGTTATCTTTATTAATATATTATATTACATATGGTCCCAGAACGCGACGGTAGGGAGCTTGAATATTATTAATGATATCGTCGTTATCGTTATTAATATATTAAATATATTGTTATTATTATTAATATATCATTATAATTATAATATATTTATTTACTATAATATATAATTATATTATATTATTGTTATTATTATATTAATATAATAATATAATATTATTAATATATCGTCCCAGAACGCCACAGTAGGGAGCTTGGTGATCCAAGTGCGTGCGGTTGACGACGATGTTGGTGCCAACGGCGCCGTGCGCTACCGCCTCCTGAAGGACTCGTCTGCCGTACACCGCACCTTCGGCGTCGACCAAATGACGGGAGCCATCACGCTGCTGCGCCCGCTGGACAGAGAGATGCAGAAACTTTACGAGGTAATTGATCTTTAGTTCCTTTTATTATCTAAATTACTCGATAATTTAAATTATCGAGCGTATTATGTGCCATTATATGATTCAGGATCTATTCTCTTTTCTTATTCTTAATATTTAAATTACTCGCTAATTTAAATTTTCACGCATTTTATGTGCCACGATAGGATTCAGGATCTCCTTGCTGCTCTGTACATTCAATGAAACACTAGCGTTTATTTAAGATAATTTTTCAATCATCAAACGTTCTTTTTTCCCACATACAAGCCATTTTAGTAAAAATATATGCGAAAAGTTCCCCTATAGGCGGGCTTTGGATATTATTAAAGTAAATTTGTATCACTATAGATAAACCAGTATATTATTAATATATTAACCCTATCTCCTCTCCAAGTTACAAATTTTAGTAGAAATAAATTCGAAAATTTTTCCTATATTCGGTCTTTTGATATTATAATAGTAAATTCGTACCTACCACTATAGATAAACTACTTTATTATTAAAATATTAACCCTATCTCCTCCAAGTTACGAATTTTAGTAGAAATAAATACGAAAATTTCCCCCTATAGGCGGTCTTGGATATTATAAAAGTAAACCTGTACCAATATTGATAACCTACTATATTATTAATATATTAACCCTATCTCCTCCCCAAGTTACGAATTTTAGTAGAAATAGATACGAAAATTTCTCCTATATCCGGTCTTGGATATTATAAAAGTATATTATTAATATATTAACCCTATCTCTCCCCTCCTAGTTGCGTATTGAGGCTCACGACCAAGGGCTACCCACACCCCTCAAAGGGGACCTCGATCTCACGATCTACGTACGCAACGTCAACGACAACAAACCACAATTCCCTCAAGATTTTGTCGTCGTCAACTTCACAGGTAATTACTTGGATAAATAGCTCAATAATTCTTCGCTGATGACCAGTTTTTCTGACCAATACTGTTTTTTATATGCTGTCATATTAATAATATATAATTCCCTCAAGATTTTGTCGTCGTCAACTTCACAGGTTATTACTCGGATGAATAGCTCAATAATTCTTCGCTGATGACCAGTTTTTCTGATCAACACTGTTTTTTATATGCTGCCGTAATAAAAATAATATTTTCATATTTAATTTGTTATAGGTAATTTCATTAAGTTACTTCAAAGCCCTTATTTCGCCTGTTGTAAATTCCACAACATTATCATCATCATTAATATTTTATTACTTAATTATTAAATTCAATAATTATTTACATTATTTACATTTCCTCATCAATTCTTATGTTATCAATATCTGCATGTCTCTCTATGTTATCAATATTTGCATGTCATTTGAGTTGCAATATCTGAAGTTTATGTGTTCGCTTCGTGCAGAGAATACGTCGCCGGGGTCAGACAGCTTGCTGCTGCCGGACACGGTGGATGTGGATGACTTAGACTTGGATGAACTGGACAACTCTGTTTGTTATTATATCGTTGGGGGAGACTCGCTCAAATCCTTCAGCCTGGATAAGCTCACACATGTTCTGCAGGTGCGGTGCTTCAATGGTTGTACCTAATCATTCAATAGAGCTTAGTAATATTTTTTATTGAGTGTGTTTTTCTAAAATGCTGTGTTTCTTTCCGTCTTCGATAAATATAACGTTGAAATATTTACACCTATGTAGCTAAACGAACCTAGTGATTTTAATCTTATTACTCGAGTTTTTTTTCGTATGTGCCTTATGCAAGCAAATTTTTTAATCAGAAGCTCTTTATTTAGTTCATTGAAGTCTAGCTCGATATTATCTTACAAATTTAATTGCCATCATGAGACGGAGGGTTAACCCTTTATTTACTGTACATATAAATTAACCGTCTTCAATGTTATTATATCAAAAATCCCGGTAACTATTGCAACTCTCTGTAGAAAAAAAAGGTTGCGAAAACGTTATCGGTATTCTAAGAGCAATTTCAACGCAATTATTATATCTTTGCTGCATCAGAAAAAAGAGTTGCGAAATCGTTCTCCGTATTTTATGAGTAATTCTAACGCAATTTTTATGTCTTTGTTGCGTCAGAAAAACGGTTTACGAAAACGTTATCCGTATTTTATGAGCAATTCTGACTCAATTCTAACGCAATTCTTATATCTTTGTTGCGTCAGGCGGTAAAACCTCTGGACCGAGAGGAACTAGAACAACACGTACTGATCGTACAGGCGAGTGAAGACTGCGTTAAAGAACCTCCTCAGGTCCCAGAATTTGACGCTACGGACGACACGCTGCTGAAGGTGATCGTCAACGTTAACGACGTCAACGACAACTCGCCTAAGTTCCTGAAAAAAGTGTTTACGGGCGGCATATCGACTGAGTCTGCTTTTGGCTTTGAAGTCCTCGAGTTGATGGTGAGTGTTTATCATAAATTACTACCTAATTATGTAGATAAGTTTTAATTGTTTTGAAGTGAATTTCATACCTGTAAATTATTCACATATAATTTTTAAGAGCAGTAAATCTTATCATAACTTCCTTATGGTTTTGGTTTGAGTTATTTTCAACGTTGATTACATCGCTGTATATTTATTTACTACTTTTCTGAAAAATTCTTTCGTTTGATCAAAATTTATTATTATTTTCCTAATTTTTTGATTTATTGATTGTATTATTTAGACCATTATTGACCCATCAGTAAAGTCTCGATTAATGTTCGTCATCCCCAGGCTGAAGACCTTGACTATGGTTCGAACGCAGCGCTGCGCTTCCAAATGATAGGGACAGTGCAGGCCACGGTGTCCGAAGGCTTAGACCACTTACGGCAACAGCCCTTCGTTGTAGACCCCAAGACTGGAATTGTCAAACTTAATTTCGACCCTCAGAGAGGCATGAAGGGATACTTTGATTTTAAGGTGAGTCCTTGCTTGATGTAAACTGGTTAAATTTTGGATCTGTTTACTTAATTAGTTAATTGAATCAATTAAATTGAATTTCTTCACTACTGAAGTTGGATTAACACATGAATTATTTGTGACTGTAACTTTCGCTACCAAAATTAACTTTTCACTAATTAACTTTAGATTAATTTTTCAATATTTTGCTACCAAAATCAAGTGTTTGACGCTAATTGCGTATTGCATATTTTGCAGCGCTTACAGTGAGATTCCATAAACAATATTTTACGCACATGTTCACCAATATCTCTTTGCTGTTTGCTCTTATTTTAACCGAGTGTTTACGCGAGAATTTACTGTGTTAAAGTAAAAAATATCACATGACTATTGAACTAATTTTAAGTCCTATCAGTTTCAGTTATTTCGACATGTATTCCATGAATTTTGTTTTGGCCAGTTTTTATCTGTTACTGCTTAAACGTAGAAAAGCCCTTTCGTAACCATGATGTCCTTTGGTAGCCGTGATGCTTTTAGGTAACTAACCCTGATGCCCTTTAGTAGCCATCATGCCTTTGGTAACCATGATACCCTTTGGTAACCCTGAAGCCCTAAGGCAACCATGATACCTTTTGTAATCATCATGCCCTTTGTTAATCATAATGCCCTTTGGTAACATGATACCCTTTGGTAATCATGATACCCTTTGGTAATCATGATACCCTTTGGTAACCATGATACCCTTTGGTAACCATGATACTTTTGGTAACCCTGATACCTTTGGTAATCATGATACCTTTGGTAATCATGATACCTTTGGTAATCCTGATGTCTGTCCCAGGTTGGAGTAACAGATGGGTCGGAGTGGCAGGACGAGGCGCGCGTCTTCGTGTACCTGCTACGGGAGGACCAGAGAGTCCGGTTCCTGCTCAGACTCGCTCCTGACGAGGTGTGTCACGTGGTATAATCAATATTACTATTATATTATTATTGTTATTATAACTGTTATTTTTTATTATTATTATTTTATTATAATTTTCATTATTGTTATTATAACTATTATTCATTATTATTATTATATATTATCATTTTCATTATTGTTATTATAACTATTATTTATTATTATTATTATATATTATCATTTTCATTATTGTTATTAAAACTGTTCATTTCATTATTATTATTATTAGTAGTAGTAGTAGTAGTAATAGTAGTAGTAGTAGTAGTATTATACGAAGCGATTGTCGTGGCATCTCGTTCAACTAAACTTCGAGGGTACGTTGCAAAAAAAATATAGCAACTGATAAAAATATGTCCATGCTTAACATTCGAAGTCTCTACGAAAAAGTTCCGTCTTCAAGTACCGACGAAACTCCAATTGTTTTGTTATTCTTTCAGACTCTTGTTTTGCATGAATGGTATAAATACTGTCAACTGATCTAATTCCGCAAAAATCAAATTCATGGAAAAGATGTGAACAAAATGGAGGTATGTTCTAACGTGAAGAATTGCCACCATTTAGTTTCAAGTCTAATTCGTTCACAATAACTTTTGAAAGATTTATCATTACCTACTACAAAACGCTGTAGCTTGCACAATGGGTCTGATCATTTACTAATAAATTTTTTATAACTGGTATTATTTTTCTCATGCTTCCAGTTCTTCAAATTTCAACGCCTGCGTGTGATTACCCATGTAGTTATGTAATTTATGTAATGTAATTACCCTTGTATTTATATATTTACAGATTACAATGTATTTATGTAATTACAGATTACAATGTATTTATGTAATTACAGATTACAATGTATTTAATTACAATGTATTTATATAATTACAGATTATAGTGTATTTAATTACAATGTATTTATGTAATTACAGATTACAATGTATTTAATTACAATGTATTTATATAATTACAGATTATAGTGTATTTAATTACAATGTATTTATGTAATTATAGATTACAATGTGTTTAATTACAATGTATTTATGTAATTACAGATTACAATGTATTTAATTACAATGTATTTATGTAATTACAGATTACAATATATTTAATTAAAATATATTTATGTAATTGCAGATTACAATGTAGGTATTTAATTACACTGTATTCATGTAATTACAGATACGGTCCCGCATCGAGTATCTACGCGATTACCTGAGTAACGTGACGTTATTAATTAATCATTTAAGAAATTTTACTATCTTTTTCATGCTTCAATTTCTTCAAATTCCAGCGCCTGCGTATGATTACCCATGTAATTAAGTAATTTATGTAACGTAATTACCCTTGTATTTATGTAATTACAGATACGGTCTCGCATCGAGTATCTGCGCGATTACCTGAGTAACGTAACGGGTGCGATCGTCAACGTGGACGAGTACCGCGTTCATGAGACCCAAGATGGCGACGTGGACCAGACAAAAACTGATCTTTATTTGCACTTCGTCAACCCTGAGGACAACTCAGTGCTTGAGGTGCCTCAAGTTCTCTCCACCATTGATAAGAACGTCCACCGCCTCGATCATTTGTTCAAGGTTAGCATCGAAATTGTCCTTTACCCACATGTTAACTTTAAACTATTCTCTTCTCAACCTTTAATTTATAGTCATGAAAGGAAATTGGTAGATTTAATAAGGAACTTTCCTCACTTTAACAATACTCTCTTCAACATTTGATTAAATGTAAACTTCTCTCTTCTACATTTCATTTATAATCGTAAAAAGAAATTGGCAGATTTAATAAAAACCTTTCCTCGTTTTAACATTTTTCTTTTCCCATTTAATATTCTTATTCATATGAAAAATCAATGGATTTACTAGAACTTTTCCTTGAATTGTCACCCTCAAGTTTTAGCTTAGTATATACTCAGATATCTTACCCATTTCTCTGGTAAGGTTAATTCACTTTATTTCTTTACATACAAATATCATTAATGCTGCGGTTGATTCAATTCACCATAGTCATTAATGTCAGTAATTAATGCTGCATTAATGACATAGAAATGTCATTAATGCTGCGGTTGATTCACCATAGTCATTAATGTCAGTAATTAATGCAGCATTAATGACATATAAATGTCACTAATGCTGCAGTTCATTCACCATAGTCATTAATGTCAGTAATTAATGCAGCATTATTGACATAGAAATGTCATTAATGCCACGGTTGACTCACCATAGTCATTAATGTCAGTAAATAATGCAACATTAATGACATAGAAATGTCATTAATGCTGCAATTGATTCACCATAGTTATTAAGGTCAGTAATTAATGCAGCAATAATGACATAGAAATGTCATTAATGCCACAGTTCATTAACCATAGTGGGTTATAATCATGACGTCACGTGCAGGAGCTGAATGTGCTGGACACGTCACAAGCCCACCTGGTGGGTGTGGCGGGAGTGGGTTTATCCTCAGACGACAACCTGTTGATGGTGTGGTTGGTGGGTGTGGTGGCGTTCCTTGCCCTCCTGCTGGTGGTGACGTTGTCGCTGTGCGTCGCGCAGAGGGCGCACTACGCTCGACAGCTCAAGGCAGCCACTGCCACTGCTTTCGGTGAGTTACATACTCGTGAAGTTTAAAAATTCTATCACTATATCTAAAATTATCTTTTGAATAATAATAATAATAATTGATTAATAATACATACTCGTGAAGTTTAAAAATACTATCACCATATCTAAAATTATCTTTTAATCAATAATAATAATTGATTAATAATACATTAATACATATACTATCAAACCATATCTAAAATTATCTTTTAATTAATAATAATAATTGATTAATAATACATACTCGTAAATGGTAGAAATACTTTCACCATATATAAAATAGTCTTTTACTCTACAATAATAAGTGATTAATATTATTTTCTTTCTTCAATCATTAATTTTATAATATTTTTTTTCTCTTTAATTTTATAATATTTTATTTATTTTTCTTTAATTTATTAATCTTTCATTTTTTATCTATAAATAAATAATTTTTTCACTTTTTAATGTAAAATTTAATTATCTATTTAATTATAACTACTGATCATTGTACTGTTGCTGATACTAACGCTATAATAATATATGCAATTTTAACGAGACAATTTCTGATTTACGTAGGTCAAGGACCCGTCTATAATATGCTATTAATTTCATCCCTAAATTCTCCTTGTAGTTTTCTCCCTGATCTCAATATATTTTGATTTTAGTTTTCCTTTTGATTTTGTTCTTGTATTTACTCTTATTCTTATTGGTTAATTACTCATTCTAAATAATAGTCAATATAATAGTTTTTACTTGTAATTTCAGGCATTCTTGATGGTTAGTTACTCATTCTAACTAGTAGGTAGTTTATTAATAATTTTTTATTGTAATTTCAGACATTCTTGATGGTTAGTTACTCATTCTAACTAGTAGTTATTATAGTAGTTTTTACATTAAATTTCAGTCATACTTGATGTTTAGTTGCTCTTCTAACTATGTAGTAGTTATTATAGTAGTTTTTACTTGTAATTTCAGGCATTATTGATTGTTTATTCATTATTTTAACTCATAAATGATATGACAACAAATAAAAACCATTTTACTGTAAAGGCTGGAACGAGTCTGTACTGAACCGAAACCCGACGGCATGATTGATGGTTTATTCATTATTTTAACTATTAAATGATATGATAGCAAATACAAAACTATTTACCTGCTCAGGCTCGATCATTATTTTAACTATTAAATGATATGATAGCAAATACAAAACTATTTACCTGCTCAGGCTCGATCATTATTTTAAATATTAAATGATATGATAGCAAATACAAAACTATTTACCTGCGCAGGCTCGAACGAGTCTGTACTGAACCGCAACCCGACGGTGCCCAACACTAACCTTCACAGCGTCGAAGGCAGCAACCCGATATGGATGAGCGGCGGCTTCGACAACGAGTGGTACAAGGAGGAAGAGTCCCTCAGGTACCAAGCTTTTGTGTGAGTCCTTTTCTTTTTTGTTCTTCGTGTTGCATATTTGTGTTTGTTTATTTTGTGTGTCGCGTTGCTTAATTTATTTATTTCTAAGTTGTCAACCAAGCTTTTGTGTGTCTTTTTCTTTTTTTTTTTTTTTTTGTTCCTTGTGTTAGAATAGAATAGAAGTGTCGGCGTTGAAGAAATAGGCCCATGGCCTGTTGCCGATTCTTGAACTTTTCGTGACTTGATTCACAAGGGATCCGGCCTTTGGAACCCGATCTTTCCATAGCTGACGATTGATTGAGATAGCTGCTGGACTTATTGCCTGGTCCGTAATTTGCTAGGCATTTTAAGACTGAACATATGCTCCTGCATAGCTTAGTCTAGTCTGTTCTTGAAGATGTTCATACTCGGTGCGTCTACGATGCTATCGATAGTATTTAGTTACATTTTTGTTCATCAATAATTTTATTCATTTGGTTAGTTAATTTAGCTTGTTTATGTATCTTTGTTTTATGATATATATTAACATTTTTTGGTCGTTTTCAAGTTAGAAAGTTTAAAGTTTTACTCAAACATACATGAGACTTGTGCTGATAACCGCATTCGTTTCCGCCGGGTAAACGGTGGTGAACCCTCCTTCATTTACAACCACAGTATTCACCATAATATATCGCTAATATGGCTCCAAAAAATTAAAATAATAAAACTTACACTGATTTACACTAATTACTGATAAAAATAACCGAAAATACTCTCATTGATCATGCTTATTTTACTAATCTCCTTATGACAGTAATAACAATAATAATGAATAATAATAGAGATATATTATAATATATTTCTACCGATCCATTTACGTCATCACACTGTCCCTCATTCATGACCGCACTGAGATTCTTGCCCACATCGATGTGTGCATTTTTATGTTAAAATTGTTTAAGTAGTATTTTCTAGTGAGTTGACGACATGATACTGAATCTTATTAGTTAGCAATCTCTTTGGTTATTGAACTTCTTTAGCAAGTAGTTGAATTTCAATTAGCAAGTTTTCATGAAGGATGTTATGAGTAGGAAGATAGGAGATCTGCTAAAGAATGTTTTGAGTAAGAATGTTAGTTCCCATAGAGTATGTTAGGAATATGTCTAAGGCATTTTCCTGAGGTATGTTATGAGTAGGAAGATTAGGAGTATCCATTAGGAATGTAGGAGTTCTCCTTGAGAACATTAAATGAGTATTAATCTTATTAATTCTTTTAAAAAAATGTTAGTATTATATCATTCCTACTCATCATTCCTAGTTATCAAGGAGGAATGTACTGAATTCACCTAGCGAATCTGAAGGGTAGCAACTTAATAAGCAATCAATTCATGCCTTTCAATGCCCCAATTCATGCCTTTGTATCAATCCCCCCACCAATTCATGCCTTTGTATCAATCCCGCCACCAATTCATGCCTTTGTACTAATTCACCCAATTCATGCCTTTGTATCAATCCCCCCCCACCAATTCATGCCTTTGTATTAATTCACCCAATTTATGCCTTTGTATCAATCCCGCCACCAATTCATGCCTTTGTACTAATTCACCCAACTCATGCCTTCGTACTAATTCATTCAACTCACGCCTTTGTACTAATTCACNTAACATGAGCCTTAATCCTTCAAATTACCTATCAGCTTTGACATGTATAAATGTTCATTAACATGAGCCTTAATCCTTCAAATTACCCATCAGCTTTGACATGTATAAATGTTCATTAACATGAGCCTTAATCCTTCAAATTACCTATCAGCTTTGACATGTATAAATGTTCATTAACATGAGCCTTAATCCTTCAAATTACCCATCAGCTTTGACATGTATAAATGTTCATTAACATGAGCCTTAATCCTTCAAATTACCCATCAGCTTTGAAATGTATAAATGTTAATTAACACGTTAAGTGCACCACGATCCACCGGCGGGATAAATGTTAATTAAGTTTCTTTCAGATCTCATTTCCTGAAATTTCTCCTAATGAGATAAAATATTTATAGTGTTTTATTTTTTGGTTAATAAATTCATTTTAAGGTTTGCAACATTCGTTCAAATTACTATCAACATTATTTATTTGTCTGCTTGTACACACAAATTCTTTAGAGTTCTTTTTGATGTTCATTAAATTATATTTTTAATTAATGAACAATGTTTAATGAACATGAACATGAACAATGTTTCACTCAATTTAATGAGTGAAATTATATTTTTATATACTGCTTGCGCTTAGGGGTAAAGTAATTCATCTCATCTCAAAGTTTGCAAAATTGATTTTTAAACTATTTACATATTTGTACATCTAAATGAAATCCAGTAACTGTCTTCTCTGATCTTTTGATTTCACGCCGATGATAAGAATTCTGGCTGAGTGCTGCTAATAAATGTGATTAAATTATTCAATAATCCGACATTTCTTATACATACTACTTATTTCATTCTCTGACTTTGTTTAAAAATATAAACATCGCATTCATTTATTGTAGGTAGAATCTTGATGTTATATGAAATCTCTTCTAACTAATATTTGTCATTTTTCTAATCGCTATGCAATCAGACTGATTTAAGTTCAATGGTAAGCAAAAAAATTACTTACGATTTTGTTGGTAAAACTCACTAGTTTATCCGTTAGTTTTGTTTATTTAACTTCCACATTAACATTTCTTCACTGCTTCTGGTGAATGATATTTTTCGCTATACTATCAGTGAATATAACTTTGTGTTCTAATTTTCCTTAAAAATGAGATATTCATAGGCACGATGAATCTAAATCATAAAGATACTTTATATGTTCTGCTGTTTTTGACAAAAGTTGCTTGTAATTAATTTGTTCCATTACATGTAATTTTTGTTTTAATTCTCTTTATTTTGTTCAAGGAGATATGCGAGTACCGATCTTGGTGTGCATAGATTTAAAAAAATATTGTTACTTGCAAGATACTTGAATTCTATTGTGCTCGCCATGTCCGTCCGTCCGTCCGTCTGTCCGTCCATGACTTCACGTTTTCGTCGACGAGAAAATGCGCTCTCTGTCAATCACTGCAGTGAGTACTGAGTTATATTTTTTATTACAAATATCCTGCAATATTGTTATTTTTTACCTCAGAGAGAACAGTAACAGCACGGTAGCCTCGAGTGCTCGTCTCACTTCACACGAACGCGTGCCAGCATCGCAAGTCGTAGACCCTCATCACTACGACACGTACCGTAGCAACTTACATCACACCTTCAAGAAGCTCACCAACCCGCTCATGGAGAAGAAGCTTGAGACCACAGAACTTTGATTTCTTTTCATCGCAAGTCGTAGACCCTCATCACTACGACACGTACCGAAGCAACTTACATCACACCTTCAAAAAGCTCACCAACCCGCTCATCGAGAAGAAGCTCGAGACCACAGAACTTTGATTTCTTTTCATCGCAAGTCGTAAACCCTCATCACTACGACACGTACCGTAGCAACCTTCACCACACCTTCAAAAAGCTCACCAACCCGCTCATCGAGAAGAAGCTCGAGACCACAGAACTTTGATTTCTTTAAAAAAAACGAGGTTTTTGTAAATAAGCTGAGTGTAAAAATTTATTTGTATGAATGTGAACATCTGAACTTTGTTCTCATTCATTCGTGGTTGCGGTGTGAATAAAAAATCGGTGACATCTGTACAAAGAGTTTGAAAATTTTGTGCTAAGAACAGATACATCGTTTCCAAAGAAAATAACAGCTGCACGTGTGACAGACTGAAAACCATTACATGCTTCTTAAATTTATAATAATTTAAATTATCCTAATTAAGAATTGCATGTCTGCTAGCTTTTATGTGAAGGAAATTCTACAAGTTTATTGCAGCAACGAAACATAAACGTTACAAGGATTGCTACCTTGTGAAAGCTTGAAGGTTTGATGGCTGAAAATGGAGCGATCGAGAATTAAAAATGTAAGATCGCTAAATGAAATATGAATTTGAACTGCTAATTTAAAAAATAGTTCTGTACTATAATTTTATTCTAGATAGAGTATTCAACTCTTATTGTGCTATCATCTAGATCAGTCTTATTTTCTTCGTGGTAATTGTGCATTAAATAGTCAAATAAATTACCCGCACTAATTGAAAACCAACGTAAATACTTGCTTGTGCCTATTATGATAATTGGACTACTTGTGATACATAGATTTTATGATTTAATTCGTATTTGAATCTCGTTCATCAAATTAGGTTATTGAATCTCTATCATAGCGGTGCAGTCGATAATTATAAATATTGCGATATGCTGCAGATGAGTGATTTTTTGTTTAAGCTTTCTATAATAATATAATTTTTTATCCTAAAATTTAATCCAAAACATTTGATATATTTTAAAGTTCGATCAAAATTCTAAAGGCCGCGACTTTAAATAATATGATTATTTTTTCTTCAGTTCGTCTTCACTTTTAAAGATATCTCGTTTTCTAAACACATTTTACCATTTAATTTGAATTAAATTCAGTTTGTTGGCTAACTGTAATTGTATATTTGTATTTACCGCCGAGTTTAAGCGCGTGTTGATGAATCAACGTACATTTATTATTAGCGTTCGGTGCCTTCTAGTCTGTATATTTCTTTTCCTTTACCTACGATTAATTCTATAATATCTACGGATTATTATATACATTTTTATGTACAGTATTTACAGTAAGAATTGTAGTGAAATATTGTGAACGTGTTCATAAAGATACCGTCCTGTAAAGCTGATGATTGAGAAAACAAATTTTTCTTCGATTTGTCTAAACTCAAGTTTTTAGTAACATTCACCATGTAAATATTTTAGGCAAAGAATGCAAAAAAAGTTCACGACATTTCGATGTGCTGTAAATTTTATTGCTTGTTAGCTGACACAGTAAGCTTTTTATGTGATTACGAATACAAAACATCACAATCTTTCAAACGCTGAACTTGATTACATTATATGCAAAATGATGGAGGTATTATTATGAACATATCAATTTTCATTGAAGTTTATTGCCTCTGGTAATTATTTGTATTTATGTATCATTTGTTTCATTTAGTGTTGGATGGTTTTCATCTATTTCATTTTTTTGCATTAGATGTAAGAGGATTTATTTGTATGACTGAAAATAATTATTCGCTATATTACAACCCCTGTATGTATTTCTTACTTTAAGATTCTTCAAACATTAAATATCTTCATCGTTATCCGGATGATATATTATTTCCTATACATCAAGTGGATTAGTTGCTCAGATGTGAAATATAGTATTAAATGATGTGTTATATCATTCCTCATAGAATGACAGTCATTTAACTTAAATTCAAATTGATCATAATATACGATAGGGGTATATCGTGATCAATTTATTATGTTATAATCTGACTGATTAAAACTGAGAGCGTCAAATTTTGAGCTGTGAGTTGCGGGTTCGACCTCCAAAAATTCTTATCTAAGCGGCACAGTGGCGAGTGGTTCAGAGCAGAAAGATTGAAGAACGGACTTGCGGCTTCAAGGCACCATGCCAAGTTTTCAAATTTGTCAAATATTTGGTCCTAATCCATTACTATTGTTGTTACATTGTAATTGAAGATAACTCTCGTTTGTGTATCTTTGCATTTTTTAATATACTAGCGATTGCTATCTATTTTTTCGTTGGATGCGCTGGAGTACCATACTGAGAATACAATGCTACAACTGCATAGTAACTTCTGATGTTAGACTGTTATTTGTAAAAATCGTTTGCTAGGTATTATGCCAAAATCAAAGTTCCATATAATGCTATGAGGAGAATCGCTCGGGTAATTATCATCACAGCTCCGCGTAACTTAGCGTCCTATATCCATACCAATCAAGTCTCTTTGCTGAATAAAGTTGTTCATAACTATAACACAGGAAAATCATTATTGCATAATTTGCGGCATAATAAAAATATCGCCATACAACACTGACACTTCTAAGGCATTATCGGAAGCAAATGCACCATTCGCATTAAATTTTCAGATGTTCCATAACAATTGAATAATGTATTATTCATTTGCAGATTTTATTTAATAACTTCAGATCGGAGTTTAAATTTTTTTTATTCTCTACCATATTGTATCTTCATCTTTTCATTGTTTTTCACTGAAATTTTGTGTTGATGAATCGGCGAATAAAATCTACTACACAGCACCCTGTAAAAATTGTGTTGTGGGTGTTCTTCATACGTGATGCGTAACTGTGTAAACTTGAGTCAATTCCACGTCCAAAATCCCATTCTACCGTAAGCATTCCAAATTTTATTAGATTAACAAATATTCCTAGATTGCTTTAGCTGTTGTTCTGCAAGGCGGTTATGGATGAAAGGATCGCTCAAAATTGTACTGTAAGTTAAATGGAATTTAAATGCTTATCGAATTGTTTTTTAGTTTCTGTGCTAATTAAAAACTTCAATGAGGACAATAGCAAACATTCACGTCGTTTTTCATCCTTAACCATGTTGCGCTATATGAACAAACTCTAAATCGTCCACCGGAAGCAAACCAATGACGGATCGGTCTAGCACCGTTCCCGTCACTCCGGCTAAATGACACGCGGAGAGCTGTTGGAACAGCCGGCTGGTGAAGTGCAATTGATCAAACAGTGATTTGCCACAATTTACAAACAAGAAAATTGTTAATAACATGGAGAGCTGAGTCAGCTGACGCCAGCAAAGGAGAAAATGAAATTGTGAGAAACATGATGAAAACCTTAACTAAATAACTATTGCTGAAGCCTTGAAGGGGACGCCTGTCGGAGTCTGACCAGTGTGGAATTCTAGAGGGATATTAAATTAACCAGTACACATAGCATATTGGAAAGCAGGACCTGAAAGGTTGGAAAGTCCAGGAACTTTTCACTTCCAGTCCATTTTATTATATACATTATACATATCCTATCACTTTTCAACTGTGATTGGTTTATGTCTCTCAAAACACTTCACTACGCGTCAGCAACAATGAAACGTCACAAAATGTTGCCATATTTATTAAAAAGCCTTTAGAATGGAAACCTACCAAATCCCTATATTCCGTCACTTTGTGTGGCAATATTTGCCACGTGGTGAGTCGTATTGCGTCAGCGCTTCAAATTTAACTGATACGTATTGGTATTGCCGACATCCACGTGTTCGAATTCCGTTTGCTGTGTGCCACTGTGGAGAGAGTGAACGAAGATTTAAAGACCTACGGCAACGCATTATCGGCAAAATTTTCGCCTTCAGAAGATCTTGCCGACACATTTAGATTGAAATTCTTGCATTTAATATATTTCTCAGTCTTCAGCCCAGACTGGAATAATGGGCAGGAGTCTCCCGTACACATAGTGACAAAGCAGAGAGTTTTTTAGACTCCCCCTCAAGTTCATTTTTGAGTCCTATAAGTAGACCAGTAAAGTATCCTGGATACCAGCATTATCATACTTAAGAAATTGGTTTAAATCTTGAGTAAATGAGGAAATTCAAAATGAACTGATTCTAAAAAAGCTCTGGTTTGCCACTATGCCCGTACAAGAGCAAAAATCACCCGTCAACGAGGGACAATTTTACCCGTGGCCATGGATAATTTCACCCGTAGCCAATGGCCAAAATTGGCCATGGATAATTTCACCCGTGGGCCGTGGCCATGGATAAATTTAACCGCGCCCGGCCGCCCGTAGACATAGTGGCAAAGCAGAGTTTTTTTTAGACTCTCCCTCAAGTTCATTTTTGAGTCCTATAAGTAGACAAGTAAAGCATAGTGGCAAAGCAGAGAGTTTTTTAGACTCTCCCTCAAGTTCATTTTTGAGTCTTATAAGTAGACCAGAAAAGTATCATGGATACCAGCATTATCATATTTAATAAATTGTTTAAAATCTAGAGTGAATTAGGAAATTTAAAATGAACCAATTCTAAAAAGTCTCTGATTTGTCACTATGCCCGTAGAGCTACAATTTCAACAGTAATGGCCAAAAGCCCTTGAACAGCACATCACCAGAAAAAATTCATTACATGAAGGCTGTACTGAATTTGTCGTACCTTCTTTCACAGATAAAGTCACTCACCACACTCGACCGTTTTGGCGGCGTCTCTAATAATGCGGATTACGGACACGGGACGGGAGCAGCTACATCAAACCCTTCAGTAGCGAATTTTTTTTGAGCGTTTGATGACGGTTCACTCTAGCTCATACGAAAAATACTTTATAGGTTTGAATAATCTATGCTGCATTTTAGTAGAGTTACGAATTTCAAGAAAGCGTAAATCAGAACATTAAAAATCCATGCTAAAAATTATGTTTTTGAAATTAACCTCATGATTAATTAACCATTTGCCAAGGCATTTGATAGTGTTCCGCATGAGCGACTGTTACGTAAAGTGAATTCTTTGGGAATATAGGGAAATGTATTCTAATGGATCAGGAATTTCCTAGT